GAGCTGTCTTTGTCACTGTCCTAGAGGCCCTCATTCCTGGATGAGTGTGTTACTGGTCAGCCTCCACACATTTCCTGTCTCTGTCCCTCCTCAGGATTCCAAATCAATGAACACTCTCAACATCAAACACAAGCTACTTACCCGTTTATGGAGCCCTTTCTATGGGCGAGGCCTTAAGCTACATTCATTTCATGTGTGATGTCTCTTAACACTCACAGTGATTCCCCTAAGGTAGGGCCATTGGTTTTTCCCACTTTCTAGAGGTGGAAAGTCAGTTCCATCAAGGAAGACACTTGATTAAGATCGTAGTCAGTGCAGGGCTTATACTCAAATCCCTGTCCTGAACCTCTGCTCTCACCTCAGGGGTGACTGCTAGTTCAGGGAACAGTCCCACAACTGTTGGGTTACTGTACGTTTTAAATGAGAGAACGTATAAAGGGGTTAGCCCAGAGACCTCAGAAACGTTAATTACCGGTTACCTTATCTTGCTTAATTTTGTGGAAGTGGTTGTGGGCAACACCTGTACCATTATTACTCCTAATTTTCACTCAGTCCTAATTTAAAGTGTTATTAGTCCTAATTTCATCAAGGAAACTGAGGCTCAAAGAGTTTAAGATATTTATTCAGGTCCACATACTAAGGAATTTGGAATTTGATTTTCGTTTTTCTGCTTCGGCTTTCCACTCAATGAGATGTGGGAAGAGTAGATAAAGTGACAAGGAATTTTGAAAGAAGGGGAGATCACTGAAGGCCTCAAGAAGGAAGCATTTTAAGGCATAGATAGAATTTGGACAAACAGAACTTTTGGGGGGTTGAGGGTGGAGATTGGAAAGACGTGTTCCAGATTCACAAAACTTTTTTTGGTTGAAGTGTCAGAGACAGAGAAGCGGAGGCCTCCACGGCAGAGCCCAGCACACACTGGCCTGGGTGCGGACCCCAGGGCAGGGCATGGGGAGGAAGAGAAATGTTCTAGAAAACCCTGGGCGCGTTGACATTGAAGAGAGGGAGGAAGAGGAATGCTAAAGGATATGGGAGAGGGAGTGGGTGAACAGAGGAGGGGGGGAACCAGAGAGTGGGTTCTCGTGGAAGCCCTGGGAGGACCTGCCTGGGAAGGTCTAGTCAGATGGGCACAGGCAGTAAGCGGCTCCCTGGTGACCTCAGCATCTGGCACGCCCATGACATTGCGAATGTAGACTCAGAAGTAGTTCCAGTGTAGGGGAGAAAGCCCAGACAGTGAGTGTATTTTCCACCCAAGAAGCTTGTGGAATGGGTGGCAGAGGGATTGTCGTAAGAGATGGCACAGAATGAAGCATGCTTATTGGCTAAGGACAATGTGCTGTTCTTTCATTTGCCCAAAACACATTGTCATTTTGAGCATGCTTCTCCCCCTCACCCCTGCCAAATTATCTTAATCCCTGCCCATCTCTGTGGAAAGTCTGACCTGCTTCGTATGGAAGTGGGTCTAATCTGACCAGCTTAGTTCCCTCCCCTCCCCCTGGCTTCCTTACTGCAGAGAAGAAAGGGAAACATCCGCATTGAGAATGAATGGCAGAGAGCTGGGAACGGGAGCGGGTAGAGAACCTGGGGTCGACAAATGGGAAGGGTGGTCTGACCATCTGGGCCAGAACCACAGTGAGAATGAGAACCGACAACAGGCTTGGTATCTTTGCCTTGTATATACACATCTTTTAGGCCAGAAATATAAAACAAACCCCAAAGCAGGTGTGTATTGCCCTGCACAGTGGAAGGCACTTTGGATATAAGAGCAGGAAGAGGCCAAAACCTTGCCCACAAAGTATACAGGGTACCTGGGGACAGCGCTCATGGTCCTGTTTTTCACATACGGTCCGGTCCTCAGGCACCTAAGTAATGAGCTGAGACTAAGGAGGTCCCGCTTTGGAGTCAGGGATGGATGAATCACTAAGACCGAATGACTAGAGGAAAGAACCAATTGACAGGACACTGCCACCTTGAATTTAGCTACCTAATTTCTCTTCAAGTAAGAACCAACATTTCAGGCCTGAAATGGGCTAGTTTGTGGCTAGTATTTTATTCATCATCTAGTCATCTTACAAGTGGCATAGATTTTAGACCATGAGGAGGGTGTCAGTAACCTTGCACCCCTTCCTAGCTGCATTCCGGTGCTCGTCTGAGGTGTTCATTTGACCAAGTCAGTGAGTGTACTGTCCACTCTTATGTAGATGGCTGAGGAGAAGTTCTGGATTAGGATTAAGGAATATTGAAAAGAAAATGAAAAATGATAGCTTCTATCACAACGTTGTCTCTTTCTACCTCTTCACAGGAAAGACACTAGATTCTTTTGCTTTTCTGGGATGAGTTTGTTTATTAACCCAGCCGAGATCACAGGGGACATTTTTCATTGCCACGTCTGGAAAAGTTCCAACACTGAGTCATGCTTGCGTGCTTTAGCAACTCTATCTAGCCTGAATGAAGGAGCAGTACACTGCTATGCAGCTTTTTAAAAGAAGCACATCTAGCCACAAAGAACAGCACCATGTTCAAGAGTAAAGAAGCGAGTTGACTTTTATTCTCTTAAAAAAAGACAACTCGGCCTGAGCAACAAGAGTCGTTTGTTCTGTGGGACAACAGCAACTTGTTATTGTCTAAGAGATGTGCCAATTTTGCCATCCAAGCCTGCTTCCTGGTTGGCCACCTATGAAGCCAGGATCTTCTGAGCATATAATGCCAGAGAAGGGAATGAAAGACCGCGGAGGCTGGCCCTCCCACAGCGGCACAGGAATCCCCTAAAATGACACACACTTCTTCAGCCTTCTTAAGATCACCTGTTCCACTCATGGCTCATCTCAACATTTTCTCAACTTACCCCATTGTTCTCATATGAAAAAAAGGTTATATTCCAGCATTTAGTTCATGTGTTGAAAGAACCCCCTCCTACTGCCAGAAGGTGCTGGAAAACAAATGGTTAAAGTGAGACCCCCAGTATCTGCTCATTTCTGACTGGGAGGGCAAATGGAGGGTGCAGGGGGCAGGACAGAACGCTCACTCCATTCTTGACCTTGGGCTTGGGGCCATCAGCCTCTCTCTGAGTCTCCAACCATCTCAAGAAGGTACTGGAGTCATGAGCACCTTCTGGGCCTCCAGCCAAACACAAGTGCCTGTGCTACATGTACACAGGAACGCCTGAAGCAAAGGGCACCATTCCGTCACCTGCACATCCCCAGCTTCCTGGTACCCATCTCTCAGAACATTCACAGGAGGCCTTGCTTAATACAAGCTCTTGATCTCGAGTGCAAATTGCAAAGTGAAATATGTGCAATCCGGAATCTAAGTAACTTTCCCATTAACTATTGTGTGACTCCAAGAAAGAATTAGACTTCTAGAACTAAAGTTTGAGTGGGTCCGGGTCCTAAACTTACTGTATTCCTCTTCCTTTCTGCTCATATTTCCTTGCTTTTCTGAGAATGTCAATATCAGGGGGTTGAGAGAAAAAGACAGGGGAGCAAATATAGTCATTTGGGTTTTCCATGGTGAAAATCTATTGTCTAAATGTCAGTGGAGAAAAACATCTTTTCATTAAGGCTTTGAATTGATGGAAAATAATTTTTCTCAAAGCTTTTTTGCATTTTTACGTTTCTTATTTGAACCTTCAAAAAATAAAATGTGCTGGGTCTTATTTGGTTTACCTCTAACGAGGTTAGTAATACCACATGGAGCTGCTGTGAAGATGAAAAGAAATAAAGTATATGAAACATTTAGAACAGTGACTGGTATATAGTAGGTGCTCATTAAATGGCAGTTCCTCTTTTTTTGTTGTTAAATGCACACAACTACTTATCCTGCTTCATGCTGCAGAATGAGAATTAGGGAATAAAGCAGGAGAGGAAGAGGGAGAACTTGGAGATTTTGGGTCTTCGGGTAGAAAAATATATATAGGTGAACAAATAATTGAATTTTAACAACTAATGAATATATATGGTATGTTGCTTGTCACTTGGATAGTATGGGTTCTAACCTAGACTCTACCACCAACTAGACATGTGAGTTTTGGAAAATAACCAAACCTCTTATGAAAAAACCTCTATTGGTTTTTTCACCAGTAGAAGGGAAATAATAGTACCTGCTTCACAGGGTTGAGGGTTATATGAGACATGCATATAAAATGCTCAGTTAGCACAATGTATAGCATATACAAAGCACTAAAATCGTAGCCAGCAGGAGTTGTAGTACAGTTTTGTATTATGATTTGTGCCCTGGTCTTAACATTTTTACTAGAAACTAAATGCTTCAAAGGCAATAGTTGGCTTTGCTCATAACATAGGTACCAGTCCAGTGCTCTACTGTCTTACTACTGAAAGTGTGGTTGCGGTCACCCAGGAGTTTGTTATAAGTGCAGGATCTCATGGTCTCCCATGACCTGTGGAATCAGTATCCGCATTTTAACAAGGTCGCCAGGTGATACAAATACATGCACTGAAATTTGGAGATACTCCACTCGATTCATTGAATTCAGTTGCTGAAGTTAATGTTTTACTTATTCTAGTAATTCCCACCAGGAAAATAGATTTAATTCTGTAGAAGCAATACACCATTAGAGACTTGCCATTCATGTGTAAGGATCCTTTAGACAGTGTTTATCAAAGTGTGGTCCCTGGACCAGGTACGTCAGATTCACTTGGGGTTGTGTGATGCTAACGCATCCTACAGGTTGAGAAGCACTGCTTTAGAACACTGGGAAACTGCCAGAAGTACATGAGTATTGTGTATCTCCTTCTTTCTACCTTAGTTTATTTCTTCTCTTCCATCTCTTAAAGATGTAAATAAGGTCAAATATCGTAAAATACTGAGTTTCCTATCCATGTTTGCCAGATATTTGCTGGTGCACATACACATCTTAGTATCTACCTGGCAGATCTTTTTATATGTCAAAGTACCTTTTCAGGTGAACAAAACACACAGCCTAATGACTTGCCTGCAGTCCCTGTTTTGTTTTGTTTTAATTTTATTCGTTTTTTGAATAGGTGGTAGATGCACATGGTATAAAATTCCCAAGGTACAAGAGTTGTCGGTGAAAAGTAAGTCTCCCGTCTTCTTGTTGCTTTGGTGATATAGTTGCCATCTCCAGATGCAATCACTGAGCTTTCATTGCACACATTTACTGAGCATGTACTATGTGCCAGGCACTCTTCTGGGCATTGGATACAGAAATATATAGAAAAAGAAAACCCTGTCCTCACGGAGCTTACATTTGGTTACCAATCTCTTACAATATTTATTCAATAGCATAGCATATTGCAGTAGTTAAAAGTAGGGCTCTATATCAAATCAACTGATTTTGAATTTGATTTTCCCCACATTCTCAGTAATCTTACTCTTAGTGTGGACTGGGTTATATCTTGAAATAGAGATAACCATTCTATTTTATAATATCATTGTGAGAATTATATGAAGTAATACTTATAATGCACCAAATAGTGCCTAGAACATAGTAAATGCTCAATAAATAGCAGTGTTGATTTTAATGATGTGATCTCATTCTACTTTTCTATAATGTACTCAAGAAATGGCTAAAGGATTTCTTTTCCCAACAGTTTTCATTTCCTCTCTCTGCTGTGTGGTGATTTAAAAAAAAAAATTATCACTTTTCTTACAACAAGTAAATTTAAATCTTCTAAATTCTGATCACTAACTGCTTATCTGTAAGACTCTGCTGATTTCTAGTAAGAAACCAACTCATAATAAATCACTAGAGTATAAAGGTTGAGTTCCTCTGTATTTTTTTGTCTAATCTAGCTTTTAAAAGATCTTATGTAATTTGGACGTCTTGTATTAATCATTTAAGGTTTTTATACTCTTAATTTCAACTTTATAATATTACAAAATTTATACCTCGGGGAGATTTCTGCATTTCACAGCAGAGGAACTAAGCAAAGTTTCTGACAATATAATTTGGTTTAGTTACCTTAAGGAACTTTCTTTATGAATCTAGTCCTATCTAGATGGGAAAGCAATTTTCAACTCCTGGAAAAGTAACAAAAGTATTTCTTGGTTATGGGCTTAAGGGGGAAAAGAGTAGAAGAAAATCACATGCAAAAATAAATAAATAAATAAGAGAAAAAAGAACTCCGGGGACATGAAAACACTTCTAAATATTGGGCCAAGAACCGTTTCCTCTGTTCAGCCTAAAAAGGAATGTTAGTGGGCATAATGTAAGAGTGCGGGGAACTTGGCTTAGGTATATGTATCCCACCTTGTACTGACACTGGACCATTGACATGAAATCTAAAAAGGAATGAGGGTACACCTATTCGACCACAGTCCTGATAATCCTTTCATGTATGTATTATCTTTCTTTCTCTCCTCTGTCCTTCATTTTATTTTGTATTCTTTCCTGGTAGACAAAGTGTATGAAGCTTTGAAAGTTTGATTGTGGTACAGGTACTTCTTCTCTTAGCCTGGTCATGATAGAGGAGGAAGAGGAAGAGGAGATAGCCGGGGCATTGAAGTGCCTCTGAATAGCTTTCGTTATTTGGTTAATGGTGAGACCAAAGTAGACTTGAGGTGTTTTGTGTTCTTTTAACATTTTCCAGCCTCTGGTGTTATATTGTCAGAAATGGATTAACAAAAAGAACACCGGTGCTTCTAATTTTGAAAGGCATAAAATCAATACTAAAAAAAATGAGGCCTCTAGTGGCATTTACCAGTGTACTTCCCCTGGACTTGTCAACCCTAATCATATAATGCACTCCGGAGCTAACTCTAACTCACGAGGGATGCATTAGGCAACCAGCGTGTGACCTCTTTGGCTTACCTTTGGACCTTCTCATTTCTCATTGTGCTCTCTTTCCACTAATTATTACAATGTAACGACCCATCTCTAAACTCAGCTGCATAATTTATTATTATTATCTCCCGCGGTTGTGTGAGTTGACTGGGCTCAGCTGGGTTCTGGAGATCTTTCATGACATTACAGTCAGATAGCAGCCGAGGCAGGAATAACATGGCAGGATGTTGAGTAGGGTGTCTTTATTCAAAGGTCTGTTACCTCAGGTGGCTGGAATGGCTGGGGATTGCTGGGCATCTCTGTCTTTCTGAGCCCCCTCTTTACGGCTACCTTGAGCTTCTTCACAAGCATGGTGGTCTCAAGGTAGTCAAATGCCTTCCAATTCGATTGGCTTTCCCCAAATAAGTGTTCCAGTAGATTGAGGCAGAAACTATAAGGTTTCTTTTAACTCAGACTCAGAAGTGATGCATAATCATTTCCCCTGCATTCTGTTTTTCAAAAGTCAAGCCAGTGTACCAAACACTTGTAGGAAACATAAACCCACTCAGGTACTTCTTAGTAAGTGAAAACTTGTGTTTCTTGGTAATATACAGCAGTGGGCAAAAGTAGGTTTACAGTTGTGAGTACACAAAACAGTGTATTCTTGTGTTATGAATTATTGTATTATAACTATAAACTACTTTTGACCACCCCTGTATATATTTTAACTAAATATATCTGATGTTGTGTGAGTGATGTCCATTAATAGAATTACCTTTGTATAAGAAGTATTGGTTAGAACAGTGATGGCGAACCTTTTGAGCTCAGCGTGTCAGCATTTTGAAAAACCCTAACCTAACTCTGGTGCCGTGTCACATATAGGAATTTTTTGATATTTGCAACCATAGTAAAACAAAGATTTATATTTTTGATATTTATTTTATGTATTTAAGTGCCATTTAACAAAGAAAACTCAACCAAAAAAATGAGTTCACGTGACACCTCTGACACGCGTTTCATAGGTTCGCCATCACTGGGTTAGAAGCTGCCACTAATAAAACATTGTTTGGATTATAGAATGGATTAGAGGCAGTTTATAAATCACTCAACACAACTTATCTCTTTCCTTTCTAAACTTGGTACAGTAGTGTGTTGTACCAAGTAGTAGTATAATAATTATAGACTATTGTGTTTATTGAAAGGAAGATAAGTTAGTTTTATTATCGTTGTTTATTCTTTCATTCAATCAAGAAATATTTGTTGACTATCTATGATGAGCCAGGCCCTGTGTTAGCCAGTAGAGAGCAGGGGCAAATTCCTGCTATGGTCGGATTTTTGCCCTTACCAGTATAAATAGTAGCAATTTAAAAGCTAACTGTATGAGTTCATACATTCAGATGCTTGGGCACTAGAGAAAACTGAGTCACAGAATATTAGTAACAATTAATGCTCATTAAGCCCTTACTTTGCACATTACTCCATTTAATCCTCCCAAAAGGTTATTGGGATAGAGGCAGCGTTACTATCCCAGTTTTGTAGAGGTTGAAACTGACTCAGAGAAGAGTGTTTCAAAGGTCACCTAATCAGTAGCCGTGGAAGTTGGATTTTAATCCAGAGCACCTACCATGCCAAACTGCATTAAAATAATACCAATGCCTTTATTTCTGAATTCCCTAACTTGTAAAAAAAATTTTTTTCATATATATATATATACATACATACCATATGTATATATTTATTGATTTTAGCAAGGAACGGAGAGTGAGAGATAGAAACATCAATAATGAGAGAGAGTCACTGGCTGCCTCCTGCACGTCCCCTACTGGGGATCGAGCCCACAACCTGGTCATGTGTCCTTGACCGGTATGGAACCCAGGACCCCTCGATCCGCAGGCCGATGCTCTATCCACTGAGCCAAACGGGTTAGGGCTTCACTTTTCTAAAGTGGTAGGTGCATAATTTTTCATGTCATAATGCTGTTTTCATTCATCTCTGACCAAATGTATTGACAGCTCCCACGCCTGTTCCAACCCCAGGCTTCTTTTTGGTTTTACAGTGACCAATTCTGAAATCTAAGAAGGATGGGTAAAGAGGAATGAAAGCTTAATTTTATTGACATTTTACTGTCTACCAACCAGTTATCAAGCTTGACATGCAAAAAAGAAGTGCTAAGTGACTGTAGCATGTAGATGGGAAAGAAAACACAACCCCCAACCTCATTAATAAAAGTAATCATGAATTCAAATATTTATGGGGCATTTACAATATGCCAGGCCCAGGAAAAATTTGGTTCCTAATCTGGGGGGATCTCACCATCCAGTGGGAGACACGAAGCAGATGTTTCTCCTGGCAACACACTCTGATAAGGGAAGCCCACCGGAGGGCCATCTCACGTAAGATGATGAGTGAGGGTGGGAGGAGTTCTAGAAAGAGTCAAACACTGGAGAACTTACTCAGATGCAGAAGAGGGTAAAGGTTCCATCAGGAGAATGCACCCTGTGCAGTGGTTCAAAGTCTAAAAGACTTTCAGGAATTCCCTGAGCTGCCGTCGTTCTGCATAACAGAGGGCAGGCTGGGTGTGTGTGGAGGAGTGGCCAGGGAGGCTGGCCAACAAGTCCGGAGGAAGGACCCTTCTTTCATTGCAGTCCGTTTTGGACATTTTCTCCATTTTAACCATGACTCTCCCCAGGATTGTGTTTGGGAATATGTTTCCATATGCGCCAGACATTATAAAGGGCTTCCCTTGCGTTTCTGCGTATTTACAATGTTGGTTACAGCCGGGCTGGCCCAATGGAAACACCAGGTGTCGGAGTCCTAGCAGCTTCATATTCCATGAGTCATTTATTGATGCAGTTACTTATGCGTTTACCCAGGAAAACCAAATCCGTTTCCCACTTCGTCGGTTCTACAGCTTCAAATGTCAGTATGTTTAGGTAACAATCCGAGAGGTAGAGGCACTGTCCTGAGACAGGGCTGCAGACCACTTACTTCAGCGAGACCCTTTGAAACCCTCTACTTCCTTTCTAGCCTGTCTCCAGTTGTGCTGAAAAAGAGGAAAGAAGTCGCCTCTGCGTGTGCCCAGGTGGAGGGTGCAGAGTGCCGCTTGGTGTTTCCAGCACAAACAGGGTGGGGCAGCTGGGAAGGGGCAGGAGTCCCCAGAGAGGGAACACCTCCCCGCCGCCCCAATGGCCTCTCCACCCCTGCGCCCCCTGCCCCTCTCTCTCCAGGGACCTCCCAAGAGGGAGAGCCAGTGAGTCCCTTTGAGTGTGTTAAAGAGTTGAAAGAACCTGTGCCCCCAAATAAAGCAGAACATCCACTTGCTTAGCTGGT